CTCGACTCTCCTTCCTCACCTCCCCCTCTCCTCTCTGTCTTTGAATAATGATGTGTCGCGATGCTTCTCTCCTTCTCTCTCTTTCTCTCTTTTGGATGAGCATGAATCTGTATGCTTTCCTTGCGTGAAAGAACTTCTTCTGAAACTCTTCCAGTAGTTTCCTGGTAATCCTCCTATGCAAGGACCCCGTCTTCTTGTCTTGTGAACGGTGGATGCGTGTGTACTGTGCAAGCGATCCATCTTTTTCTATGCATGGCTCATTTTTCGCATCTTCCACAGTGGATATATGTACGGAGATGTGTGACCCCCTTTTTTACGTTGATTAGACGATTATTGTCGGGATTTTATTCGAGAATGCAAGAGTGTTTAGATTTGTAGATCTGAATGTACTGCGCATGCCATCTGCCTTATGCTGCACGACATCAGCAGCCGAGCTACGGGGCGGCCTCGAGAAACAAGGCGCCTGGGATCAAGGTCGCGCAGGCTCACTAAACCTGAGCCGCCGATCGGTCCCTTAGTTATATGCATGATCAAGCTGTTGAAGTGTCTGCTTTCGCTCTCTCTCTCTCTCGTGTTGAAAGAGACTGATTGTAAGTTGCCCGAGTGTTTTCTTTTCTTGATGACATCGCAAGGTCTTTACAATTGATTGATATGTGGACTGACCAGTACCCTCCGATCGGGTACCAGCCTCCCGTACCTGCCGTCCCAACACGGCCTTTTCCCTACAACGAGGGAAGGACACGTGTATGCGAGTGGGACGTACGAGAAGCTGTTGCACAAATCCACGGGCGATATTACTTCCCTCCGGCAAATCGTTGTTCAGGGTTCGTGGAGGCTGGGTTTGTCATTATCGATACGCACTTCCCACCTTACTCGATATTGTTGTCATTCAATGAGTTGATCGTCATCCCGTGGACGGCAGTAGAATTAACTGGCCTTGCACTCTATGCACCGAATGTCGGCGTTTTGAGCGCTACGAATCCAGGGGTGTCCACTACCGTGTGCGGAGTGAAGATGAGCATAAAGAAAGAGCCACACGACTGAGACCATCCACGTCAGACTCGGAACTGACCAGCGAATGACAGCGAGATTTGATACGTAAACAAGACACGCGAAGCGTGCCGATGCCTTTCCGTTCTCAACGACGGGCTGTAGCCCGGTGGGAAGCCCGACAGTACTTTTTGGATTGAATTTTGATTTTTCTCTTTTCGCTTCGTGCCCGCGCGCGCATTCTGCGACGCTCGAAAGCAACCGACTTACTTCGTCGGACCAACACGGGGGATTTCAGTTCCATCTGTGTCCCCACACTCAATTTCCAAAAATCCTTGGCACACCCCATCTTGCTGTTTTTCTGGGCCTCTTTCCACACGCCTAACTCTCCGAACGAAAGACGATACAGGGCGTGAGGTTGCGCGTCATAACCTTTCGCGCGCGAATGTTCTCGGCCCCGACATGGAGGACTCAGCGAATTTTGTAGGAATATGGATAAGCATAGGACTTTCTTTCTTTTCCCGCGTCTACTTTTCGTGCGGATATGGTGATTTCAATTTTTGAATTAGCGTAGGATTGGGAAAAAACTGCAACTGTTTCGGTGCTCATTCTTCTTTTGMTGTTCGCCGCCATGCAAASGAGCTCCCTCCTCCTTCCTCCCTGCGCCTTTCTCAGCGCCTTACCTYGYGTGCACATGCTTTCTCGCTCCCTCCCCCTGTAACTGTTTTTTCTCTCCCCTTCCCCGCGCGCGCCCTTTTTCTCTTTCTTGATCATCTGAATCTTGGACCCGTTTCGCGATATCCTTCACATCCTCTTCGTCCCGCTCTAAGATCCGCGCTCGAAAAACCCGGTCGATCCTCTCTTCCCATCTAGCCAAGGAGACGCGCCGTGTAAGACGAGATTCGTACTGCGCGACGATTCTTATTGGCTGAGCTTGAGTTGTGAGGGATCAACATGGCTTTCAACGGGCGATTACTCTTAAGCCCTCCCTTACCCTCCTCCACCCTACTCTTCATCTTTCCCCGTATCTCTCTCCCTTCTCGCAACTATAAATTTCGTCGGCGCATCCGTAAATCTCTCTCTCAACTCGCCAGCCAGCTTCCGGGAAGCAGTGGCTAGATGATGTGTGTATAGTGCGAGTTGGAAAGTCCTAACGGGCTGACTCTAGACTGGCTGGCTGTGCGCTAGATCGCCATGACGGATTGTGGGATCCGGGCAAGCCACGTCGAGGCTAAGTTGGCGGGCTGACGATCGCAGTGGTGGATGGTGACACGGGACGGCTGGGATCGTTGGTGCATGAATGAGGATGAGCGATTCGAGTTAAGCGGATGACTAGCCCGGGGCCATGTTGGAATTTGGTGGCGAGTTACCCCCCCCCTTGTTGCGAATCCATTCTTTGGTGCAAGCGCACGGCGGTAAAGTCGAAAATTCTTTGCAATTCCCGATCTCAGTGTAACTCTTCCCTCCTGACTTGCTATTCCCGCTTGTCTCTCCCTCCCTCCTTCTCCTCTCTCGCTGACATGAATGACTATGCATGATGAGTCAATCTTTTTGGAATGAGCATTTATGAATGTGCGCTCGGAAGAAATTCTTCCGGAACTCTTCCATTAGTTTCTTGGGTAATCCCCGGACCTACTGAGGATTGATCGTCTTGTCTTGTGAACGGTGGATGCGCGTGTAGCGACCATCAGCGATTTAAAGGGAC